CACTCTCTCTGTCTCTCTCTCCTACCCACACATTCCCCTTATCTATCTCTTTCTCTCCATCTCTGCACATTAACTTCGGACCTACGGATAAAAACTAAGCAAGCCAAACGAGCAACAAACAATTCGCACGCCCATACTACATGACGAGCATTCGACGTGAAAAAAATCTCCTCACCTGCGCCTGCTGGAGGTACACCGGGGACAGCATCTTGGTGATGCGGTACAGGTGCTCCGCCACGTTCTCGAGCGGCTCTCCCAGGATCTTGGCCAGGCACTTCTCGAAACCCTTGGAGCAGCTGCCGGGAACCCCGTACCTTCGCGCCAGATTACCACGGAACATACAGCCAGCCGCGGAACAAACGAGGAATACTTTTGTGAAAAGTCAGATTACCACGGAACAAATAAGGAACAAATATTATTATTGCGACAGAAAAATTGAGGTATCGCAGCATGCAGTAGTAGTAGGAGCGCTCTTGGCCGAATGAGGACAAGTTACACGAGGGAGGCCAGAGCGCACAGTCCCAAAGAGACAAGTACAACATATACTACTGTACATAGGTGCTTCGAGAAAGACGCGCAGGACGGTCGAACAGGCAAAGGCAAATGAAAGGTACAGATCTTAGAATACAGAGAGTGAGTGGTCGAATCGAATCAAAGTGAAAGCAAAATAGGATACATGGCATGCCCGAATGAAGGTGCAAAACACCGGATACGCCATCACGCGCAGTCACAACAAGGTGCATCCACGAACCACAAGATTCAAGATAAAACTTGGTCGAGAACTCGGACACCCCCTCATTTTCACGATTTTGCTCTAAAATGATACAGTAGCTAGCTCTCGTCGCCGCTGTAGCTTCGCGCTCACCATTGTTTGGGGGCCCCCGAGTGGTGGTAGTTGAGGGAGTAGAGGTAGTTGTCCTCGTTGTGCCACGCGAAGGTCGCGTACTGCATGCCGAGGTACAGCCTGCACGAACGAAAAAATAAATAAAAATGAATCCGGGCACGGTTTTCATCATCACGACGAGCATCACCGTCACGGTGGTTGGTGTTTTTTTCGAACATCATCGTCATTTTCGCGTAATAAAGACAGGGATGCAAAACAAACCACAGCACAGCACACCATGCCACAGGCACCCTACAAAACTTTCATTTACAAGGTGTAAAAAGAATATATTTTTTTCTAAAAGAAAGCTTTTCTAAGATGTGGAGGACACCTATCGGAAGTATAACCAACCATTTGTGCACGTAAAAAGTAGGAGGATACAACTCCATCGGGGTAACTTGCCATCGGGAGATTGACAGGAAATGCACCTTTGAAGTCTGTCTCTTCCGTAGTCTTTGGCCACTTGCCGAGGGTAGACGCGGAGAGTCTTCAACGCTCCTCCCTCTGCCCTCTGGCCACTACACTTCTCTACCTATCTCTCCTCGTTACATGTCACGGAGGGAAATAAGAAATAAGCCACCCCTTGCAGTGGGGTGAGTACTAGTGCTGCCACGGCATAGGCCTCTGTCTCTGACAGGAGCTTTTACTTCGAAGACATACGCATACTTCGAATTAATGTCTTTTGGCAGAAGACAAATGCAAAAAAAAAACATAAATATTACGATATAAGTTAGTCTATTTGGTTATTGGAGTACGCTATATCCCTTACCAGGGAGCGGTGAGACCGTTGATGTGGGTCCGGAAGAAGCGGAGGACCGACCCCGGCCAGAAGGGCAGGTTGTTCAGGTTCCAGCCGCAGGTGCGGTAGTACTCAGGGTCGTCGAAATCGCACGGCTTGGTGCGGTCGAACGAGGAGCCGTCCATGAAGTTTTTGGGCGGCATGGGGAACCCGCTCCAGAAGGTCGAGATGTTGAGGTCGTTCGCGTACTCCACCTGTTTGGGATGTTGTTGTTGTTGTTGTTGTTGTTGTTGTCGGAGTTGGGGAGTTGAGAGTTGTTTGGGGGGGGGTCAAGAAGTGCTGTGTTTCCCCCTGCGGTAGAGGAAGAAACAATGGCTGTATCCAGCAGTTATTATTAGTGTGTGTGAAGCAGACCCCGTAATGTGTAACGCAACGACGCGACTGGTGTGGAGCTCGTTCTTTGCTAGATATCGTGCTGACGCACAACACGCCGCACAAGCATCAACCGTTCGCTCCGGCACAGCAATATCTGTGCCGCCGCTAGCCCCCCTCTATGCTGGCACACACACACACACCTCAAGCTCTTCCACCCCTCCATCCACGACGTTCCAGTACTCTCTCTCCAGTAACCGAAGCTTCCCGTTTTCCTCCATCTTAGCCTCCCTCTCCTCCTTGCTCGCCCCCGGCCGGACTTCCACGTTCGGGCCCTAACAGAAAAAAGTTAGTTGCGTCGCGGGGGCAGGGGAGGGGGGTACGGAATTGAAAATATGTCAAATCACCAGTTGCAACAACCCAGTAGATAATACGTATACCGACCAGTTCCCAGCACCGAGGAATGCATGTACGTACACCTCCTTTTCTGTATGTTCTGCGGTCTGCGTGTGTCCTGCTTCGACTGAAGCACCATCGTTGGTCAGTCAGTTCGCGCGGTCGATACTAACAATAAAAACACGCAACAAGAGTAGTATTAATAGTCTTTTCATGGGTTAGCGCGGTCGATGCTAACAACAAAAACACACAACAAGTAAGTCTTTTTCATTGGTCAGCCGATAATAAAGACACGTACTGCTGTACACACACATACCATTGGCTCGTACAGAGGGGCCGCCCGTGGCTTCTGCGCGGGAGGGTCTCGGGCTCGCCACTTCTCGGCCACCCTGTCCGCCATAACCTTGTAGTCGACGACCGTGTAGTCGGCACCGTCGTCGTACACCTCGTCCGACTGCGGTGAGAGCAAGGTGTGAGTTATAAAGCGACGGAACGGCATCAAGCCAAGGGAGGGCAGATATGTCAACGATGGCTCGAGCTGCTGCTGCTGCTGCTGCTGCTGCTGTCAACGATCAAGCAACCGTCGATGAACGGCACAAAAACTGAGTGCATGGGGACTGCTGTTTCTATACGGTTTTAGATTATGATGCTGGTTTCCGTGGTGGCAAGTATCGCACGAGGTGATGTTATCAGTTGTGGCGGCGTGGTCGTGGACGTACGTGTAAAAGAGGCCACGGAACAGCAACGACTGGTGACCACACGACACCAGCGACTATCTACAACAACACCGCGACAAAAACAGAGCAACAACAAGAGACAAGCACGATAGGAAGCACGCGCGGAAAAAGCACCACGGTCAAGAAAAAAAAAATCAAAAACGAAACCTATAGCAATAGGTGTACCGTATATGACACAAGATAACACACCCCCTGGACCGATTTTCAAAGCTCGATTACTCCACGACGAAGAGGATGCATAAATGAAACAATACGTTTTCGAACAGCTCTCGACGAGACGGTTCCAACGCCGCCGTTTTCGGCGCTGTGACTCTTCCTGCTGTTGAGAAATCGAGCTTTGAAAATCGGCCAAGGGTGTGTGTTATCTTGTGTCATATACGGTATGCATACAGCAGTGGTATTGAGCAAGGGTCCCTTTTCGATTGGCCCTCCATTGGCTTTTGGTTGCGGCCACCAATGTACACGAAAAGAAGAAGGTCACGAGACGCACGTTCATGAGGCTGTGCAGGGCCTGCTTCTTGGTGGGCACGAGCTTCCTAGAGTGAGGCCTCAGCGGCGTCGGCGGCGGGTCCCACCCCACGGGCGGGACGATCTTGGCGATGCCGAAGCTCTCCGCCGTTGGTCGGATCGACTCGATGTAACTGCCGTCGCCGTCGCCGTAGTTGTCGTATGTTGTAGTTGTTGTTGTAGTTGTAGTTGTTGTTGACGATGTTGTTTTCGTGCAAGGCAAGACGCGAGATTAACTTCAGTGTTGGTGCGGGTGCGAGATGGGTGATGTACCACGTCGTACATACTTCTTTACACGAGACATGGGATGATGGAATCTTGCAAGCATCTGCATGTTCTCATTCCCCGTTGAACTTTCTTTCTTCCCATAATTTTGCCCCCGTCCCATTTCTCCTCCTTGCGTTTGGATCGCGCCGGGCGTGTCGCAGCACTGGTTCTCACATTGACCGACATATCAAAATGAAGGATGCGTTTGACCCCGCTGGCACTTGTCCCGCCACCGTTACCGTATCTACCCAATTTTCAGCACAACAACAGGACACATGCATACCTCGCCTACTGCTGCCACAACACAATCGCGCAAACAACAGAACAACAACAACTGCAGCGTCGAAGCGGCAGCAGCGACAACAATAGCAGCAGCACGGACTCACGTGAGGGGATCGCGAAACTGTTCCTCAGTCGGGTAGAAAGTGGGGGCGTCGGGGATGGAAGCTTCCACCGGGTTGGTGGGGAGGGGCCTCAGGGCCTTGGGGATCTGCGACACGTCGGAGCGTGGAACCGACCCCGAAACCGGGAGGGGGGGGGGGAGGGGGGGGGGGGGGGGGGGGCCCCCCCTCCCCTTTTAAAAAAAAAAAAAAAAAAAAAAAAGGGGGACTTTTTTTTCAAGGGGGCGGGGGGTTTTTTTTTGCTAAAAAAAAAACGGGGGAAAAGGGCTCCGGTTTTTTTGCCCTTGCCCCCACAAAAAATTTATAACAAACTTGGGGGGGTTTTTTACACCCCCTGTTGGAGCTGCGGGGGGGGTTTTTATTTTTTTTTGGAAACCCCAAAAAAAATCCCCGCGAGAGAAGGAA